AGAAGGAGGTACGTATACCGGACCTTAGAATGGCCGGACTAACGTAAGGACAAAGCAAGAATAGTCAAAAGGTAAGCCGAGGTCAAGGGAGCCGGAGGACAGGTAAGCGAGATACAAGCCGAGTCAAAGGAGAGGAGAGGACAACAGGACAAAAGACAAGCAAGGGTCAAAACCGGAAATACAAGATAAAGAACGCGCTGAGTGACTAGCAAGCTAGAACCACGACAGGGCAATGAGCAGTAGTAAAGGTTTCCTTTAAATACCCTGTGACCTAAATAGAGACCACGCCCCCAAAAGGTCCGGAATAGCGGTTCCCGGCACTTTATGCAAATGCCGACGTCATGACGTCGACGCTAGCCGTCGCGTCATAAAAGGGGGAGGAGCTAGCGCGGCCGGCGCGAAAACGGCCGGAATATGCCGAAATGCTAGGGGAAGGGAGCCCCTAAGCAGAGAGGATGTCCTCCCTGGATACATCACCAACAGGTACCCTGACACAGGGATCCTTAGGACAGGTGTCAATCCATATCTGCCAAGTGACCCTATGTTTAACATTCCCTATTCTGTCTGTGTCAGTGTGTATCCAGGACAGGTGTCAATCCATATCTGCCAAGTGACCCTATGTTGGGGTAACATTCCCTATTCTGATCTGTGTCAGTGTGTATCATGGATCCTTAGGACAGGTGTCAATCCATATCTGCCAAGTGACCCTATGTTGGGGTAACATTCCCTATTCTGATCTGTGTCAGTGTGTATCAGGGGCTCTGAGGACAGGTGTCAATCCATATCTGCCAAGTGACCCTATGTTGGGGTAACATTCCCTATTCTGATCTGTGTCAGTGTGTATCAGGGCTCTGAGGACAGGTGTCAATCCATATCTGCCAAGTGACCCTATGTTGGTGTATTCTATTCTGATCTGTGTCAGTGTGTATCAGGGGCTCTGAGGACAGGTGTCAATCCATATCTGCCAAGTGACCTATGTTGGGGAATTAACATTCCCTATTATTCTGCTCTGTGTCAGTGTGTATCAGGGATCCTTAGGACGAGTGTCAATCCATATCTGCAGTGACCCTATGTTGGGGTAACATTCCTATTCTGCTCTGTGTCAGTGTGTATCAGGGATCCATAGGACAGGTGTCAATCCATATCTGCAAGTGACCTATGTTGGGGTAACATTCCCCCTAATTCTGCTCTGTGTCAGTGTGTATCAGGGATCCTTGAGGACAGGTGTCAATCCATATCTGCCAAGTGACCCTATGTAGGGGGAACAGTCCCTATTCTGCTCTGTGTCAGTGTGTATCAGGGATCCTTAGGACAGGTGTCATCCATATCTGCCAAGTGACCCTATGTAGGGGGACCAGTCTCTATTCTGCTCTGTGTCCGTGTGCATCAGGGGCTCTGAGGACAGGTGTCAATCCATATGTCAAGGTGTCAATATGTCATATGTCAGGTGTCAATCCATATTGATTGTGATTTAGGAATGTTAGGTGATTTCTGCCCTTTATGGATTAAAACCAGACTCTGTATCAACTGTGTAATTTTCCATGGGAGTTTTGCCATGGATCCCCCTCCGGCATGCCACAGTCCAGGTGTTAGTCCCCTTGAAACAACTTTTCCATCCCTATTGTGGCCAGAAAGAGTCCCTGTGTGTTTTAAAATTCGCCTCCCCATTGAAGTCAATGGCGTTTCGGGCGGTTCGCCGGTTCGCGAACATTTGCGGAAGTTCGTGTTCGCCGTTCGCGAACGGAAAATTTCGGGTTCGCGACATCACTATCCTTCATTCTCTGTCTCCTCTCTATTCCACATTCTAGTAACACTCTATAAGACTTTCTCTTAGCCGTTTTCTGCTTTTCACTTTCACTTCAACTCTTGCCATCTTTCTCCAGTAAACTATTTCCTATTTCCTGATCAGTACTGACTTTCAAGATCTTCCTTTCCCACTACACCAGCATTTCCCAATCCGGGTTCCGTGGCGATTTGCCGTCGAGTGGCCCAAGCATTTAGGGCCACCCAATGGGTATCGCTAAACAGGGGTCCAGTCAGGCGCTGCGGCCGTCTAAGACCGCGACCGGACCCCTCTTGTATGGGATGCTGGGAGGAAGTGACAGCACTTCCTCCCAGACAGAGCATGGATGTTAGATCACCGGCTGGAGGGAGAAAGGGAGCAGCAGGTATGGAGCGCCTGGCACACCAGCCTCAGCCTGCAGCACTGAAGGAAGAAAAAAAGGTAAGTAGACAGCAAATATAAACGTGTGTATCTATGTCTGTGTGTCAGTGTTGTTGTATCTATGTGTCAGTATATCTGTCAGTGTGTGTGTGTGTGTGTGTGTGTGTGTGTGTGTATGTGTCAAGGTATGTGTATCTGTGCCAGTGTGTATCTGTCAGATACATACAGACACACAGAAACACACGTTGGCACATACATACACAGATACAAACACTTTGACACACATACAGACACACTGTGTGTCAGGGTGTGTGTATATGTGTGCCAGTGTGTGTGTATCTGTGTGTCACATGCAAAAAAAGGTTTATGCAACGGCGCAAAATTTTGTCTAGCTCACATTACTTTTCTCAATACCAAAAACAGTAGCCTGCTTTGGCTCAAGAGCAGGCTTATGTTGAACATATGGCCCACAAATTTGGCCTCTTGGGAGTTAGTTGAGATGGGAAGGCAGGAGTAGGCAGTCACACAGGAGGGGGGAGGGAATTTTGGAAACTTAGACTCCCATCAGTGTTGACCAGCCAGCTCTCACTGCAACCCAGGGAAACCATCCCCCTGCACGGAAGAAGTAAGGAAACAGGAGGGTGGCTAAAATTATGCTAATTGTTACTTATATGTATGTGTACCTTTGTCTGTGTGTAACTGAGTGTGTGTGTATTTTTTTCAGTGTGTGTATGTGAAAATGCAGAGAGGTTCCAGGCACACAAATTCTTGCTATTTAAAAGGATTTACACTGATCAGCCACAATATTAGAATCACCTGTCTAATAACATCTAGGTCCCACTTGTGCTGCCACAACAGTTCTGATGCATCGAGGCATGGACTTCACAAGAACTCTGACCGTGTCCTGTGGTATCTGGCACCAAGACATTAGCATAGGGTCCTGTAAGTTGCGAGGTGGAGACCCCATGAACAGCATTAGTTGTTTCAGCACATCACACAGATGCTCAATCAGATTGAGATCTATGGAATTTGGTGGCCAAGGCATGACCTTGAACTTTGTCATGTTCCTCAAACCATTCCTGAACTATTTTTGCTGTGTGAAAGGGTGCATTATCCTGCTGAAAGAGGCTACTGTCATCAGGTAATACCATTGCCAAGAAGGGTGTACATGGTCTGCAACAATATCTAGGTTAGTTGGTACCTGTCAAAGTAACATCTACATAAATGGCAGGATCCAAGGTTTCCCAGCAAAACATTTCCCAGAGCATAACACTGCCTCTGTGTCCTGCTTTCATCCCTTAGTGCATCCTGCAGCTATCTCTTCCCCAGGTAAACGATGCACATACCCCTGGCCATCTACCACATCTAAAAGAAAAAGTGATTAATCAGACCAGGTTTCTTTCATTGCTCCATGGTCCAGTTCTGAAGCTCCACTTTGAAGGCACTTTCGGTGGTGGACAGGAGCCATCATGGACATTTTGACTGGTCTGCCGCTCTACAGTCACATACACAGAAAACTGTGAAGCACTGTGCATTCTGACATCTTTCTATCATAGTCAGCATTAAATTATTTCAGCAATTTCAGTTAAAGTAGCTCTTCTGTATGATTGGACCAATTATTTCAGCAATTTCAGTTAAAGTAGCTCTTCTGTATGATAGCTCTTCTGTATGATTGGGCTAACCTTCACTCCCCACGGGCATCAATGACCCTTAGGAGCCCATTCACTGGTTGTCCTTTCTTGCACCACTTTTGGTAGGTACTAACCACTGCATACCAGGAACAACAAAAAGACTTGACTGTTTTTAAAATCCTCTGACTCGGTCATCTAGCCATCACTATGTGGTCCTTGTCAAAGTAACTCAGATCTTTTTGCTTGCCCATTAACCTACTTCCAAGATATGAAGACTGTTCACTTGGTGCCTAATATATCCTGCCCCTTGACAGGCGCCATTATAACGATATAATCAATGTTATTCACTTCACTTGTCAGTGGTTTTAATGTTGTGGCTGATCAGTTTATATGAATCGGTTAATGTCACTGTAATACAAACAACAAAAAGTGTGGGAATATAATATTTAATATAATGTTAAACGATAGCTTATAACAAAAAGTTTGCATACATTATTAAAATAAATGTCAGATTTTTTTTTTGCACATATGTTTATTCTTAATCTTTATTCAATAAAATACAGTAGTTGCTGGGGAGGGATGGCTTTATCTAGCCAGCTGGGCAAGTACAGTTATATAGCCAAATTTGAGACAACATAAGCAAACTCCACTCCATTTGTTATTTTGTATAACAGTTTTTATACTGTTACTGCAATAACAAAGATACAATAGAATACAATTGCTAGGAGGCAATTGCCCCCCTTGCCAGACCTCCCCTGAATAGTAGTTATACTAAGAATTCATATTAAAATGCTAAAGATAAGTAATCGCATAAAGAAGAATAGAAAAAGATTTTTTTTAAAGTATTTTAGAAGGAAAGTGACAAAAGCACTATATCATTCTTCTTTCTTTATTTCATAAGTGATAATATTAACATGTACATCTCTACATAAAAAAGGATTAATCCTAGTTCCCAGACTTGCTCACTCACTTTATACGATAACGTGAAATTGGATCTAAAATATACTATACTGTGCAGTTCTAAAATATAGACATTAAATTATTTTGTATCTAGTGTTGTGCTTTTTTTTTTAATTTTTTTTTTTAAACACTGGATAGCAAGCTTGGTAACATGAAATTATTGACTGAAATATTGGCCAACATTTGCAGCGATCCGTCACCTGTTTATTTTTAAAGGCTATAATAAAACATTTATTTATTTCTTGCAATGTTATTGAGATACAGCTATTCGCACCACTCTACAGTTGATTTTCCTGTAAATGACTGAGATACGCAGAATGACGGAAATAAATACATACACAATAATAAAGAAAATTATACCGTGTATTTGATTATATGCCAACAACTAAGATTTAGGGGTTTGCTTGTCAGCATTAACATAATGATACAAACACTGCAAATTAAAGAAAATTATACATACAAAGTGAAAGAAAAAAAAAATCACCCACATTCAACTCCTTGATTCCCCAAACTAAAATTTGAGCCCCATATTCTGCAAACAAGCAAGCACGTAACAGACTAGAAAGTAAATATTAACTTGTAATATCAGGTAAACTTGGCTTGAATTTAACAATATTCTATACAATACCCTTTGATTTCAAGATTAAAAAACAAAAAACATAATGTGATTCACACGTTATATAATGTTTTATTTGTAATATCTAGCAAATAAAATTCTGAAAAGTATATGACAAAAATGAAATTACATCTACTTAAGTACTTGTGATTCCTAATTTAGGCCGGAATAGCAAAAAAAAAAAAAAAAGTATAAAACATTGTCGATTGCAAGGCATCTTTTGTCACGTAATATTTCATAAAAGTTGGAAAATATTAGTTCAAAAGCCTACATAAAATTTTATAACATTTAGTATGTGTGATGAAAAATGTTAATAAAAATGTTCAAGTACCCTGTTAAGGAACCTTCAAATCCAGACTTGCTAAATGCGGGTCAAATTAGATCAGAAGATCATACTGTGCAAACCCAAATAAATAAATTTACATGTGTACCCTTGGAAAAATAAAAAATATTTAGTGCACACCTATTTGAATAACAATATATTTAATCACAAAAGCTATAACATAAAATGAGTAGATCATTTTATTTTTTCAGCATAAGAAGCACTGGTTGTTAGAATTTATTACCATTGTACAATGGCGAGAATTATTTAGTCATTTACCTCCCAGTTACCAAGACATCAATAACCATTTCATTGAAGAGATGTCATTACATTGTACAATTACTCAATCCCTTGTTTATTTCTAAACTGATTCAGATAAAAGTAATGGCCAACAATGGGTATTGTAAATCTAACTACATCATTAAAAGCAAATCACCATATGCTTTGAAAGAACACATTTGGTTTTAAAAAGCAAACATGGGGAACGCAGGTAGAATAAGTAGATTTCGACAATGATGGCTTTGGTTTATGTATCATTCCTGCATTCCATTTATTTGTGTTTTAAACGACAATACACTTAGCATTTCTTTGTGATATTATTTGTAATATCTGATTTACAAAAATAATATATTTTTACTGTTAACCTTTGTATATCCAAGAGGGAATAAACCATGATGCAATTGTTGCTTGGGTCCATACATACTTTGAACCTAAAGTTTGGCAAAACATTTTTAGTCTTTGGTGATCATTGACTTTGGTTTCTCAACAGCCATATTTCAATTACACTGTCCACTGCTTAGCAAACATCAGTTGCCAAAATGCTCTGTTTTCTTGTTCTGTCACATCACTGCCATCTCCTCAAAGTCAGATAAAGTTAGCAAGCAAGACCTCACAATAGTATAAACTGAGCTGCAAACTAGATGGCTGGGCTAATTTTGGTCTAACTCATAAACACACTTCCCAAAGTAAATTTGGCAATGTTGTACTAGGCTACTACTCATAGATAAGTGAAACAATTTTCAAGAATATTCAATTCATTTTCTCTGGGATTGATCCACGTTTCCAATGGTAGTCAAAATTACAATTCATAATTAACCTTCATGGGTTTCATTCCCAGTTAGGGGTGCTGAGTTCAGTGATACAACAAAGCCATGTTATGTATGGTGTAGGACGTTTAGCAATAGAGAGTGAGACCACAATATTTCAACATCTTTGTAACCATACTCTATAATTCCAGATTGGTGGACCAGCCATCATTCACCTGGCAGTGGCCAAGTCAGAGGTTAAACTGTTAACAAACAGTTTAGCCCCAAAGACTTTAGTCTGGCACCTCCCACTTTTATCCCCAAACTTCCTTGGCAGTCTGAGGCATCAAGCAGGCCACTGATACATATGTTCTGTAAATGGAGAGCTACTGATGAGCAATTACTGATGGATGCTGTGAGCTTGTCAGTGGCCCCTGTCCAAGTCTTCACGTCTGAAGCCTCAGATTGCAATGGAAATTCAAGGACAATGCTGATCGGCGTCAGACTGAAGACTTTGTGGTTAAACCATTCGTTAACGGTTTAACCTCTGAAGAAAACCCAGTGTCAAGGACATCGTGGCCCTATAACAACTTAATTTGTTAAGGTGCCCAGAGTGTTCCTTTAAGTCTTGAATGCAGTTAGATTCAGTTTAACATAGTAGATAAAAGAGAATATGCTCAATAGAACACTGCATGATCCTAGTAAGCTGTGAATTCAATCCTAGAAGACATGGTGATGTAACTCTTGGAGCGACGAACTTTGGAGAACCTGAGAGTAATTGAGACCTAAATGTGACTCCTTACTAATGCCATGTAATATTTAAATAATTTCATGATATTAAAATACAGCATAGTTGGCATTAGTACATTATTAGAAGATAATATTTTATTCTGAAATAGATAAAAAGTCAAATGTTGAATTTTTTTGATATTCAATGATGCAGACTTCTAAAAGGAAGCAACTCATAGAGGCCTATAATTCTAGAATAACGATGTGCACTTTCACTCTTCTTTATCTGGTTAGCCACATGTTTCACAAACCGAACTTCCTTCTGCAGTTCATAAGCTGGAAAATAAACAAAACAGTTCATTAAAATTTTTTTGTTTTAAATCGCTCTCATTTCATACTTTTCCTGAAAATTTAATATATGCTACAAGAAAATAATACATATTCATCCAAATTAGTATTTTTATAATAATTTCGTACACACAAGCAGGTTATTCTGGACTATGTAATTTGTCTTGTTGAATTCTTTATGAATGGCAGTTCACTGCTGTCAAGAATGATTAAACTGGCATTTGCTCAAAGGTTACATCAAATATGATAAATAACAGCAAACAGGAAAATGTAAAGAAGTTCATTTTAGAACTGTAAAGCATGTGTAATATTCACTGGAAGTGGAATCAGATGGGAACTTAGATTTGGATAATGCCTGAGTTGAAAATCAGCATCTATTGTGGATTGCTAAAAACCTTTAACGAGCCAACAAAGCCATCCTCAGACTGAAGACTAACAATCCTGAATTTTCTTGGGCTTTAGTAAATTCTAAATATACAATATATGTTTCTTTAGTTTGCTGAAATGAGAGAAAATCCTACTAATACTAAAAGCAGAAATATATCTGGATAAAGGCTGGTCAGATTTCAATTATTATGAAACCCTAATTAGCTAATGAAATATATTGTTATATAAATTCCTTACTGCAGGAGGAATAAATGACAATATATTTACTGGTAATTTGCCAAGTTTAGCATATCAAACTTTTATCCAGAGATATTGACATATCTGAATTTAGGGGTAGTAATCTTTAGTCAGGAAAGGTGAATCTTCTTCAAATGTAAAATCTGGTTAGAATTACTCTTATTGGTTATTGGATGAGAAGTAATGGTTAACTGATCTGGTATGAGAAATATTGTATTTGTTAATTGCAATATTGAAGGTATTTTTCCTGTGAGAATGAGTTAACTCAGTGTGTTTAAAACTGACAGCCAAGGTTTTAGCTGTGCTGTTGTGAGAGGCTATAATGATGCAAAAAGTTCTGTGTAAAGGAATTTCCAAACTGAGATGCTGTGTTCCATGACAATAAATGCTTAACTGATTTCAAAGTGAAGTGTCCTGTTGTAAATCTTGGAAATCTGCATTTATGTGGATAAAACACTAGCTATTTAGCAATCTGTAATTGTATTAAACTGATGCCATATTGTATACATATATTATACCTAATTATTCACTGATTATTGTCACGCATGTTACTCTTGATTAATTATTGTCACAATAAGTAATATTTTTATAAATAGTTGTGATTAATGTGTGAAATACAAATTCTTTAATAAAATGTACTCCAGGGTCTATAAGAGTTAAAATAGTGGGGTAACTCTTTTAAACTTTAAATCAATCAATGGGAACAGTGCCAATATCTCAATTTGTGATATAATAAAAATTATTAGATTGATTTTTGATAATTTTTATGAAAATATTCTTAACCCCTTAAGGACTATACTTCTGGAATAAAAGGGAATCATGACATGTCACACATGTCATGTGTCCTTAAGGGGTTAATATTTATCACCACATAAATATCCTCACACCAGGAACTAAGTCAGGTGGTGGGAAAAGACCCAGAAATTGTGACTGTCCTGCCGGAATTGGGATGGTTAGGTATACACAACTGAATCACAACTATAACCTCCTAACTCTAAATGCCCTATGTAATCAAACTCTGACATTAACTCCTCTCTGACATTAAACCTCCTTTTACCTTAACAACTTTTAACATTATCTTTAACCCTTCATGCAATTATACAGCTGCATACACTTACTAAACTCAAAGATCCAAACACAATATATTACAAACAGACATTTGCAAATGCATAGATAAATAAATATGCAATTGTCAAATTTTTATGCCTGCAATGTCGAGTTAATAAAGCCATTAAACTCGCTTTATCTGTCTATATATGTCTTATACAACAAGAAGTGCTTTAGAATTCTATGCCTACAGGCACCTAATCTGAAAATCTGTCCATCTGGACTGTCATTGTATCAGTCTGATATGCAACTGGCTGATGCTTGTTTGTAAAGGCAGAATTAAGCAACAATTTGTTTGAGTGGGATCCACTGAAGGACAAGCTACTTGACATATTGTCAGTTCACAGTGTTTCATTAACTCTCCTTTTGCATAAGAGTATCTGTGTGTTCTAAGAATGCGTATTGGTGTATGTATGATTGTGTTTGTCTCTGCGAGCAGGGCCGGATTAACATAGGGGCTGATGGAGCCGCAGCTCCAGGCCCAGGCCCAGGCCCAGGCCCATGGATTAGGCCCATTGATTTAAAAAAAAAAAAAAAACATTTTTTTTTTTTTTTTTACACACTACTCTTAGGGTTTCCAGATATATCTTATGGTTGCCAGGTATTTCTCAGGTATTTGAGGCTGCCTAGCCGATGCCGGTATTGCAGTAATACCGGCAATACAAATGTCTATCTCAGTATAAACAGAGATTATTCTGCAATACCAGCGCCAGCCAGTAGGGGTCGCTGTTTGTGTGGAGAGAGGCAGGGATAAGAAGTTACAGTATCTGCCTCTCTCTACTCACTGATCAGCGGGGGAGCAGCTCTGTGCAGAGAGTCCAGACAGCAGCTACGAGCCTGCGAGACATGGGGACGATGAGAGACTTGGGGACACTGGGAGACATAGGGACACTGGGGAACATGGGGACCCTGAGACACTAGGGACACAGTGGCCCCATGTCTCCCAGTGGCCCCTAGTCGCTGTGTCCCCATGTCTCCCAGCCAGTGTCCCCATGTCTCCTAGTGTCCCTGATGTTTCTCAGTGTCCCTGATGTGTCTGTGTCCCCATGTCTCTCCATGTCCCCATGTCTCTCCCAGTGTCTGTGTCCCCATGTCTCCCAGTGTCCGAATGTCTCTAAGTGTCCCCTAGTGTTCTAGTGACAGTGGCATACAAATACTAGGGGACACTGGGCAACATGGACACACTGAGAGACATGGGGACACTGGGCGACTTTGAGACCTGGTCTTCCAGCCAGTGTCCCTAGTATCTCAGTATCCCCATGTCTCCGTGTCCCTGGTGTCTCTGTGTCCGCAGTGTGCCAGTGTCCATAGTGTCTCAGTGTTTCCTAGTCTCCCAAAGTCCCCTATTCTCTGTGTCCCAATGTCCCCCAGTGTCCTCATGTCTCCTAGTGTCACCTAGTATAAAAGAAAAATTCTCAGGCTCTCACTGTGATAGATTTGTCTGGTGAGCAAACAACAGAGAGAAGCTGTTCTATTTCTACTCCTGTCTCTATTCTGCCTGTGAATACCTATGAGTTAATAATTACTCAATCATTTCTAGTTCACAGAGAGATTTTTTAATTCTTCAAGTTTATTCAAGACAGGTATTAGATATGAGCAGTAGATGGGGGCTGCCATCTGAAACAAGTTACCAACCCCATACAACTGAGGGTTAAAGCAACTGTAGCTAATTAGTATCCTCTTTATGCTGTCTCCGTTTTGCAACAATATTGCAACACTGTGATAATACAGAAACCCTAATCTGACAGCTATCTGGCTCAGTTTCTTCACTCAAATTGTCTCCTATATTGAATTGCATTAACCAAAATTAGGAGAAGAGAGATTGCAACAATTTGTAATTACAAACAACCTTCTACTAGTTCTATATTACGATATTGTAGAATCAATGACAACAGCCATCTGCTCCCTGTATCCTTGACAACTTCTCAGTGTGATATAAGAAAATCCAACTCCTGATAAAGACCTCACTCAATAAAGTCAGAGATTAGGACAATTGGAGGAATTTATATCCTTTATCTATTTCTGCATATATCATCTATTTTTCTGAGTAGGTAGAGGTATAGCCAGTTGGCTTTGGATTTGCTATCTGACCATTAATATAAGTGGTGTGCAGCGTTCTATCAAAGAGCATACATTTCCTCATCTTGTGTTCCTTTCCAGCTAACACCGACATTCAGAGTCTTTTAGCTCTGGAAATAGGTAGTTATTATTACGCTGTGATAGATTTAAGCAGATTTATTGGACACCGCAATGTTTCAACCTGTAACCAGGTCTTTATCAAGTCTCCAGTGTGCCCTATGTATCACAGTGTCCCCTGTGTATCAGAGTGTCTCAGTGCCCCATGTCTCCCAGTATCCCTGGTGTGTTTCAGTGTCCTTAGTGTCTCAGTGTCCCCTAGTCTCCCAGTGTCCCCATGTCTCACAGCGCCCCCAAGTGTCTCAGTGTCCCCTAGTATAAAAGAAAAAGATCTCAGGCACTCACTGTGATAGATTTAAGCAGGTTTATTGGACACCACAACATTTTAACCTGTACCCAGGTCTTTATCAAGTCTCCAGTGTCCCCTATATATCAGTGTCCCCTATGTATCACAGTGTCTCAGTGCCCCATGTCTCCCAGTGTCCCCTAGTGTCTCAAAGTTACCCAGTGTCCCCATGGCTCCCAGTTTCCCCAAAAGTCTGAGTGTCCCCAGGTCTCTCAGTGTTTTCAATGTCTCTCAATGTCCCCTAGTGTCCTAGTGACATGGGGACACTGGGAGACATGGGGACACAGACATGCCCCCTTTTTGTGTATGTTCGCCCCTTTCAGCAGTTATGGTTATGCAATTTGTGTCAGTGGCCCACCCTTTTGCCCCATCCACAGACTTCCTGCTTTACTGGACACTGCTATTAGGGGGTATGGGTTTACTTGTAAGATAAAAGCATGGTTATGTGTTTTCTCATAGCTGCATCCTATGAGTTTCCCTCCAGCACAATCTCCATCAGATACATGACGCTTAGGAGGTAGGACTGTTTTAGTGTTTTTGGTCAATAAAATTTTGTAATTAGGCCCATCATAATTCTCAGCACCAGGCCCACTGGGCTCTTAATCTGGCCCTGTCTGCGAGTATGCACCTATGTGTGTATACAGAGAGACTGACTGGGGGGCAGCCAGAGGTTTATGATTTCTGATAAAAACCTGCAATAAAACGGCCGCACAGTCAAAGCTTCATAAACTATGTGCCTCTGTGTAATCTCCAGCTAGTACTCATCATCCCATGGCAGAAGAGTACTTGTAGTACTCAACGTCAATTTAATCAATATAATCAAATATCATAGAAAAGCAAAGCATTAATATTTCAGTCTTGCTATGGGACTTTATCAACACAAAAAACGGTATTACAAGATATAAATATAGAAAAGCAAAATAATGTTCCTGATTTGTATTTATTTTTCATATACATAGAATGTTATGAATATATATATATATATATATATATATATATATATATATATATATATATATAATACAGTACACCATTTATTACCTTTTATTAATTCATTTATGTCATCACTGAATAGACCACATGCAATCCAGTCATCAGTGTTATGAATGTGCGCAAATGCAGTAAATCCTTGATTATCCAAATGCTTCACATTTGCTCCTGCACAGAAATGTATGACAAATCAAAATTAACAACAGTCAGAGAAATAATAAAAAATACATTTAGATGGAGTATTCAGATAAAATAATCTAGCTCCCTGCTCTGGGTATGATTTTAATAGCACAATATACAAAAAGTATTTTTATTTGCATTCTACTATAAACATTGTGTAGGTGGCAGAGAACCTTTAGAAATGCAAACATCATTTGGATTCCACAGGCATATTAAACTGTTACAAAAATCCCAGACCTCTGTAGGTACCCTAGTGTACTGTTTAGAATGCTACAAAATCCACATGTAAACCACATGTCCGATATCTGGTCTAAATAAGTTACCATTAATACAAAAATGCAAATACACCCCAAGAAATTAGCTAAAATGAATGAAATTCTATTTTTAAAATTACTTTTTTTTTCTTCATTCAATCTAAAATCCTTTAAGAGATCTATGTCAACATACCTCTATACAGAATGCATATATTTACTACCTGTTATGTGTTAACTTGATGTATTTGTGTACAATATATGTATTGTATATTGTATTATTTCTTTGTAATATTATATTGTACCCCATGGTAACAATGCAATGTTTGTGGGCCCATAATATACTTGAAAACAAGAGAAATCTCAATGTACTGCTCCTGACAACGGCATGCTAATATGCCGAAACGCGCGTCGAGCTAATCTATTTTTTTTTTTTTTCTTTTATCATTCACTTGGTAGCACAGAATTATAATTTCTATTTAGGTTTATTTATGTAGACTAGTTGATTGGACAGGCAGGGAGAGGTATACAGGTAGGCATCTGTGTGCTATATCACAGTGCCGAGGTATATCACTATTTAAATAGTGATTTAGAATTGGGTTGGGGCTTTTGAGAGCTTCTTTTTCTCTCCTTCCTCCCCCCCTCTGTTTAGGTTATATGTATGGGTTGATACTCCCATTTTTAGCCTAGCAGTTATTTCCTCTCTATTACCTGTCTCTTTCCATTTCCTAATTTTTATCCACAGCTATTCAGGCTTGTGGGATTTTTTTCTTTAATATAGCCTGCCTTTTCTTGAGTAGGTTACTATTTAGGATTGGTATGTGGATTGATTAATTTTCTTTCCTCTTAGAGGTCTCCCTTAATCTTCTGTCCATTTTTATATCGCTCCCATCATTAGGACTAATAAAGGTAGGGCTCCCCTCCCCTTGTTACACTATTCTTCCATTTAGGACCTTATGGTCTCACTTTCTTCTTCTTTTCAATTATATTTTGTGGGTTATTCCCCGTTCTGGGAAGAATAGTCCTGGGGCAAACACTGACCCACGGGCCAATTTTGTGACCCCTGAGTCAGTGTATTCTAGTATTGCTACTTTCGAAATCTCAATGTATCCTTCCTGGAAAAATATTTTATAAATCAATCAACCAACCAATAAATAAATAAAATAGGTGGGCTCACAAATAAGTAGTTGGAGCAAGACATGTTAGACGAACAGGAACAGAATGTGCTGAGGGCCCTGTGCAAACATGCTTGCATTCTAAGGGAGTGGGGAAAAATGACACAAGACGGAAGGGTAAGATGTATTCCATGCATGGCAAATGTAGGTTGCTAGAAGGCTTGCGAAGGCTTAGTTTTATGTATAACACAGTTGCAAGGGGAGAGGTGTTTTGTCAGGAAGGAAAGCTATTATTAGTTGAATTGATATGACTTCTTGATGACATGAATTTCCAATAGTAGCAGTTATAGCATAATTTTAGATCAATATTAATATGGCCTGAAGACAATAAATTGGAATAAAACAAGAAATAAAATGACAAGTATAAAATTCTGAATTTGCAGAATTCAGGCTTTCTTTTCATTTATATTAATGTACCATGATAACTATATATTGAACTGTATGGCCATATATCTCAACAGTCCCTATTTAGGAGGAACAGTCACTATTTTGTGCCCTAATCTCTCTGCGCTTCTTTTCTATCCTAATGTCCCTCTTTTCTAGGAGCTCCCTATTGCTTGTTTGTCAGAATGTACAACAGAGCTCCACAGCAATAATACTCACAGTAATGTTTCTTTAACCCCTTAAGGACCAAACTTCTGGAATAAAGGGGAATCATGACATGTCATACATGTCGTGTGTCCTTAAGGGGTTAAACTTCAATAGATGCATTTAGAAATCAGTCTAAGTAAATAAGATGCATTGCTCTTGCTCTATTTTATATTTGCATACATTTTTAATAGTAAGTCAGTTAAAATTGATTCAGAACAGAACTGCCCCAAGCCATAACTCCATTCACAACCCTAAAATGTAATTATAAAGTGCCCCTCTTTGTCCGTTAGAAATGTTGGGAGGTATGTATGGCAGTAACAAAATGCATTGAAAACATTAAAAAAAACACTATGCAATGAATTTAATAAATTCAGAATAACTAATAAATCTTTGAATTTTCTTCCAAACTGTTGTCTGCGGACCCTTGCATACCCTCTTTGATAACAAATGTATACCGTACCATAATCAAGCAAAAGTTTAGCTCCATGAAAGTTTGATGCAGAGATGGCATTAAAAAGAGGAGTCATGTTTCTGTCATTTTGCACATCAACCTCACTTCCTGAACTCAATAGCAGTTGAAGAATCTCATAACAGTTGATGCGGAGAGCAGCCAAATGCAAAGCACTGGAATTTTCAAGAAACAAATTAGGGCCAATCTAGATTACATGCCTTACATTTACAAACAGAATTGGCAATGGTGCAGATAACACAAGGGATGTAGAATTACAAAATACACAGCGATAGTGCAACAGTGCAAATCTAACTTCTACCCCCTCCTCCTAAGTTGCAAGTCAGTTTTATCCTTTCCTGTAACTCATTTTAGCAAAATATGCTATACTTGCTCTTAAAGATTATTGACATTTTTAACATATTGCAGAATTTAGCAGAATTTGGGATATGGGAGTAGTCTCTGTTGACTTGTAGAGTGTTACATTGGGAGAAGAAAGGCATCCATTTAACACCAACAGATGTAGTAATATCGTCCAAGTAGTCTTTCCTCCTAGAACCACATGAAAATATAACTTCACCTGGATGAATAGCAATTTGAGACAATTTGCAGGCTCACATTCAGACAAAATTTACTGAATTTTTATCTGAACATGAAAAGACCAATGTAAGTATTGATTTAAGCAAAAAATAGCTACTTTGCTGCTATGCGGCACATTATATTTGCATAATGAGATTTGCACAGTCTTGGCATATGAATTTATGGAAAGGTTCAGCTTATTGACAAGTTTTATGAACCTTCTAAATCTTCCTTCTGTGAGTCCTAAACAGTGGCACTGGCAACTAGTGAACATTTTAGATGGCGGGGTGCTGGAATAGGGATTGAGCATGATATGTATGGTGGCTAGGCTGTATGTATACTAGCTCAGGCCTTCTAACTGTCCTGATTTTTGTGGGACAGCCCCTATTTTAAGGTCCTGTTCATCCGTCCCAACTTTGTTTCCTGGTGTCCCTCTTACGCTCACAGTACTAGGCTCATGCAGGGTTGAAACAGCTTGCTGTATGATTAGCAGTTCCTCTGGCGTGCATTCAAGCCAGACTGACCAACCTATTCTTCGCGGGGGTATGCTAGCTCTTTTCCTCTGTTCTTCTAGTCTATTGGGGGAAGGTAAAACCCTATGAGTTTATGTTAAAATAATTAAATAAATAGGGGCACCAAATAAACTACTGAGTGCCCTTCAATTGAAGAAAAATAAGGCAAAATCCATGAGTGATTTCATTATATGTAGCAGTTCAGACAAATAAAAATAATTATTGGCTATGCTTATTGTGATAAAAGTGACTTTCATTTAATTACATTAAACAAGCACACAGCCTAATCACAATGGATGCAATGTCCATTACTTTTAGCTTAGTGATCAGGCTGTGTGTGAACATTGATGCTTAATTACAATGCTTAATGTAAAAGGAATGACTGTCACTCTCACTACATTAAATATAGCCAATAATGACCAATTAGCAGTGGGAAAAAAACAGTGGCAAAAAGGTGGATAAAGAGTATGATGTTTGTAGGAACAACAGGTTGGAAAACGTTCTGACCACCCACACACATACATCACATTGTACCCCTAAATCATCAGCACATGTATAGATCATGCTGTACTCTGCTTACATCATGGAGCTTTTGCAGCATCCATTTTGATTTCCATACAACCATCAATACATCTAATTTTACTGAGTAGTAATAAGTAACCTTGGAAATGTAAGTACATGGGTACTTGTCCAACATAAAAAGTGTATCATGCATATAAAGAATGTGATAAATTAAACAATTCTAATAATCCTTGATTGGATAGATTGCATATTTAATTAGATGCAATCTGATACTTAGAAACATAGAATGTGACGGCAGATAAGAACCATTCAGCCCATCTAGTCTGCCCAATTTAAAAAAAATACTTTCATTAGTCCCTGGACTTATCTTATAGTTAGGATAGCCTTATGCATATCCCACTGATGCTTAAACTCCTTTACTGTGTTAACCTCTACCACTTCAGCTGGAATGCTATTCCATGCATCCACTACCCTCTCAGTAAAGTAATACTTCCGGATATTATTTTTAAACCTTTGCCCCTCTAATTTAAGACACTGTGTCCTCTTGTTGTGGTAGTTTTTCTTCTTTTAAATATAGTCTCCTCCATTACTGTGTTGATTCCCTTTTTGTATTTAAATGTTTCTATCATATCCCCCCTGTCTCGTCTTTCCTCCAAGCTATACATGTTAAGATCCTTTAACCTTTCCTGGTAAGTTTTATCCCGCAATCCATGAACCAGTTTAGTAGCCCTTCTCTGAACTCTCTCTAAAGTATCAATATCCTTCTGGAGATACGGTCTCTAGTACTGTGTACAATACTCCAAGTGAGGTCTCACCAGTGTTCTGTACAATGGCATGAGCACTTCCCTCTTTTTATTGCTAATACCCCTCCCTATACAACAAAGCATTCTGCTAGCATTTCCTGCTGCTCTATGACATAGTTTGCCTACCTTTAAATCATCTGAAATAATGAGCCCTAAATCCCTTTCCTCAGATGTTGAGGTTAGGACTCTATCAAATATTCTGTAGGAGTTATGGTGGTAAATTTGGCTATAATAAGAATAATAATAATAAATAGAAAAGCTACAATTTCTGGGAAAATTGTGTGAAGTGTTCTTGCCTCCACCAGTAGTCTACAACTGGAGTGGACCGAGTAACTGTTATTATTTATTTATATAGCACATTTAATTGCAACGTTGTTGCCCAAAGTGCTTCACAATTACATTAAAACATACATTTATAAAAACATTATCAGGTGTACAAAAGGCCCTGTCTATGACATCACTTGCTGCTCCAGCCTGGCACAGGTCAGAGTATTTTGGCGGTTGCCATCTTCAAACGGTCGTATTTTAAAAACTATACAGCCTACAGTAAAAGAGCTTTATATTGTGAGAATCACAAGACCCAGACCTACATTTTGATGCATATTATGTCTCTGAAGTATTAAAAATGAAGGCACAGTCACAGTTTGCTATGCAAGAACACTTAATAATATATATGTGAGATAACATTAAGTGGTCTTGATATGCAAGAACACTTAATTATAACTACGATAGTACCAATTAGTAGAACAATTACTCACATTCACCAGGATATTTCACTTTTTCTCTCCTTTTCTTAAATTAAATTAGGTTCCCCCAAGACTTGATCTCGGATCGCTGGATTCAAAGTCCAAAGTGCTAACCATTACACCATGGAGCCACTCAATGAAGGTCCAGATGCCAGTGGTTTGGCTGAACTTTTAATATTTTTGGCGTCATATTTTAATTTTTAATTTATTTTATTGCCATGAATCAAGAAGATATGGTAAACAAGATAGTTACAAATATCAGAAAAAGATATGGTAAACAAGACAGTTATAAATATTACGTTTCAAATAACATGTCTGAGATTTTCAGATTGTGGACATTTTCATCCCCTATTAGGGATGTGCATGAGAAAAAAATGTGGTTTGGTTAGGAAATTCAGGTAAGTTAAAAAAATTCTGCACTTCGGCAATTCGGTTCAGTTCAGCACTTCCGAAATTCAAAACTTCGGCAATTCGGAACTTTGGCAATTCGGAATTCAGAACATCTGTAGGGCAACCTAACCCTACCCCTAACCACCACAACCACTTACAAATCTATAGGGCTTCCAGTGCCTGGACTGCCACCACAGCCACTTACACATCTGTAGGGCTCCCAGTGCCAGGATTGCCACCACAGCCACTTACACATCTATAGGGCTCCCATTGCCAGGAATTAGCTTATTGGTCAAGATTCCTGTCATAATTCACGTAATTTTCCCTCCCTCTCTTGTTTTGCCAATTTCCAGAAATCTGAACCACTTCGGCAATTCGACACTTCGGAAATTCGGACATTCAGGAGCATCCAAATGTCTAAATTGCCCGAAATTCGTCTGAATTTACATTCGAAACTAGACAAATTGTACATGTCTATCCCCTATACTCCGCCTGAGTATATGTGGTGTAGTTCTCCCAAACCCCAAGTGAAGCAGTGGTTCAAGCTTAAAAATATATAATAACCCCACAAAGATTACATCCTTAAAAAGCCCTGATCTGAGTCCCCAAGTTTTCCAAATACCGCTCAGATCCATGCAGTGTAGGGGAAATGCCACCGTGTCAAAGTTCTGACCACCCACACACATGGTCCTATGCCCAAAACAGTTCCACAGCGTTTGATGCTTTGGCCAGTCAACTTTCAGGAGCTCCTGTGGCCGCAACACAGGATGCTCAGGCTGAGTCTCAGGTAGCGTTTGTTCCCCTTAGCCTCAGGCACATTCCCTTAAAAAAAAAAATCGCTCTCCTGGCAGATTTCAAAGTTGTTCAAAAGTTGTTCAAAACCCTGGACCAAGTTGCCAAAAACAGTTCTATAACATTCGCGGCTAAGTCCCACTGAGATGACCGGAAACCCACGAAGTCCTCATGCCGAATTTAGTTTCATAACGATTGCGGCTAAGTACCGCTGAGGACAATTCGTGGGTTTCTTCATGCGAACGGCCACCAGGGAGCTAGTGTTTAGCTCCATTCGAATGAAAGGAAAGTGCCGAACAAGGGGCACCCCGGAAAAGCTGCTAATGGTGGCTGGGGAGATTTACCTTCCAAACAGGGTCTTTGTATGTGGCCCATAGTCCTTGGGCAGGAGGATTTGGTTTGGTTCGGCACTTCCGAAATTCAGGACTTTGGCAATTCAGTTCAGTTCGGCACTTCTGACATTTGGCAATTCGGTTATTCGGGACTTTGGCAATTCCCTACCTCTAACCCTACCCTAGCCCTACACATAACCCTACTCCTACCTCTAATCCTAACCTTACCCTAACTCTATCCTAACCCTACCCCTGTAATCATTCATGTAATTTTCCCTCCCTCTTGTTTTGCGACTTTTCAGAAATTCAAAGCACTTCAGCACTTTGGAAATTCGGCAATTCTGCACCTCAGCAATTCGGTTCAGTTTGGCACTTCCGTAATTTGGCACATCGGCACTTCGGCAATATAGGGTTAGGTTAAGCATCCGAATGTCCGAATGACTCAAAATTCGTCCAAATTCACATTCAGACTGAAACGAATTGCACATGTCTACTAGCTAGCAGGCCCCTCCAGGAGTTTGTGACAAATGTCCAGGGTAAGGAGCGTTTGTCACACATCTTACATGACATTTTGTTTAAAAGCCAAGTTAAAAGAAAGAAAAATAAAAAACATAAAGTTGACACAGCATCGGGGTCAACAAGCTTGAATTGTCTGGTATAGGGAAATTAGTATTATGGAGCTATGAGCGGTTGACCTGCCATAACTCCGATCAAGTACCAGTCTGTATATTTAAAAGTGGATTTAATTTTGATTGAGTAGAACTATCTAGTAAATTAATATAAGGTTGCCAGGTGAGAAAAATATTTTTCCCCAAAGTACTTTTGTGTAGCGAGGTTTCTCTTTTGTAAATTTCTTTTTTTATTGACATTTAGGTTTTTTTTTTCAGTTAGAGAGTAAAGCCAGGGCCGGATTAACATAGGGGCTGATGGAGCTGCAGCTCCAGGCCCAGGCCCATGGAATAGGCCCATTTTTACAGAGTACTCTTAGGTTTACCACCTGACTGGTATTTTAAGGCACAGCTAGTATTGTGTCTGGTCTTGGACTGACTACCACAGCTCCTCCAGAGCCTGTAGCTCCTCCATTTTGTTATACCACAGGGTCAGGGCCGGATTAACATAGGGGCTGATGGAGCTGCAGCCCAGGCCCATGGAATAGGCCCATTTAAAAAAAAAAAAATATATATGTTTTTTTGTTTTTTTTACACACTACTCTTAGGTTTGCCACCTGACTGGTATTTTAATGGTACAGATGGTATTTGAGGCTGCCTGGCCCTGCCGGTATTGCAGTGATACCAGCAATACAAATGCAGGTAATTTTCTCAGAATAAATGGAAATTAATCTGCAATACCAGCACTGGCCAGTAGGGGTCACTGTGTGTGGAGGGAGGCAGGGATAGGAAGTTACAGAATATCCCTGCCTCTCTCTGCTACTCACTGATCCGTGGAGGAGCAGCTACACCGCACAGAGAGTCCAGGCAGCAGCTCTACAGCTCAGGTAAGTGAAGGATGGGGGGAAAGGCAGCAGGGACACATGGGGACACTGAGACACTAGGGGACACATGGGGACACTGAGACACTAGGGGACACATGGGGACACTGAGACACTAGGGGACACTGAGACACTAGGGGACACATGGGGACACTGAGACACTAGGGGACACATGGGGACCCTTAGACACTAGGGGACACATGATGACACATACACTAGGGGACACTGAGACACTAGGACACAGACACTGGGAGACCTGGGAACACTGAGACACTTGGGGACACTGGAAAACATGGGGACACTGAGACACTAGGGGACATAGACACTAGGGGACACAGACACTAGGGGGCACATGGGGACACTGTCACTAGGGGACACTGAGACACTAGGACACATGGGGACACAGACACTGGGAGACCTGGGGACACTGAGACACTAGGGGACACTGAGACACATGGGGATGCTGAGACACATGGGGATGCTGAGACACTAGGGGACCCTGAGACACATGGGGACGCTGTGAGACATAGGCACATTGGGAGACATTGGGACATGGATACACTATGTCCCCCAGCCAGTGTCCCTAGTGTCTCAGTGTCCCCAAGTCTCCCAGTGTCTGTGTCCCATGTCTCTCAGTGTGCCTAGTGTCCCCATGTGTCCCAGTGTCCCCATGTCTATGTCCACAACTGTCCCCATGTCTCCCCAAGTGTCTGTCCCCCAGCCAGTGTCCCCTAGTCTCCCAGTATCCCCTAGTCTCCCAGTATCCCCTAGTCTCCCAGTATCCCCTAGTCTCCCAGTGTCCCCTAGTCTCCCAGTGTCTGTGTCCCTAGTGTCTTAGTGTCCCCAAATGTTTCAGTGTCTCCATGTCTCCCAGTGTGTTCCTAGTGTCTCAGTGTGCCTGGTGTCCCCATGTCTCCCAGTGTCCCTATATGTCCCAGTGTCCACATGTCTATGTCCACAACTGTCCCCATGTCTCCCAGTGTCCCCAAGTGTCTGTCTTCCAGTCAGTGTCCCCTAGTCTCCCAGTGTCCCCTAGTCTCCCAGTGTCTGTGTTCCCATGTCTGTGTCCCTAGTGTCTTAGTGTCCCCAAATGTTTCAGTGTCCCCATGTCTCCCAGTGTCTGTTTCCCTAGTGTCTCAGTGTCCCCATTTCTCCCAGTTTCCCTAAATGTCTCAGTGTCCCCGGGTCTCTCAGTGCCCCTGGTATCCTAGTGACATGGGGACACACTGAGACATTGGGACACTGGGAGAAATGGGGACACAGACACTGGGAGACTAGGGAACTGCGCGACATGGGGACACTGTTACTGTGATACATAGGGACACTGAGACACTGGGTGACTTGCGAGACTGAGACACTGGGAGCAATCCATCTATATAGCAGAATCAAACTGTGAGTAGTTTGGTGATTTTACAGAATTTTCTCTGATGTCACTCCTTGTGATTTACATCACGTGATGTCACGCATAACTAATTAATTATACAAATGATTAAGGCTGGTATTTTTTTCCAAGAAAGGTGGCAACCTTAACTTCTCTTCACATACTCTTGCTTAAAGGAGCACTATAGGGTCAGGAACACAATCATGTATTTCTGACCCTATTATGTTAAAACCACCACCCTGGCCCCTTCTTGCCTCCCTAAATATAGTAAAATATTACTTGTATTCAATTCTGCAGCTGCTGGCTCAGAAGTGGTGGTCTGAGCAAATTACAATACTTCCCCATAGGATTGGCTGAGACTGTCAACTAGGCAGATCAGGGGCAGAGCCAGCACAAGTCCAACATAGCCCTGGCCAATCAGCATCTCCTCATAAAGATAAATTGAATCAATGCATCTCTATGAGGAAAGTTCAGTGTCTGCATGCAGAGGGTGGAGACACTGAATGGCAGTGCTGCACACTAGGCAGTACTGCCCCAGGAAGCACCTCTAGCAGCCATCTAAGGAGCAGCCAGTGGAGTTATTTTCTCTGAAAAGACAGTGTTTACTGCAAAAAGCCTGAATGGAATGATTCTACTTACCAGAACAAATACAATAAGCTGTAGTTGTTCTGGTGACTATAGTGTCCCTTTAAGTTTGGAAGCTTAAGAGGGATGTATGGGAACAAAACTTGTGTGCACTTGCTGACATTAAAGTTCGTTTAGGTAATGCAGACGTTGGTCTTTCTAACACTGTGGCATGTCCCCTTTCTTCTACACTCACTACAGACATCTTTTCTCTGTCTCAGACTATATACCAGGAACTTCTGCCTGCTAGTAAGAAGGTAAGGAGACAAGTGGGCCAGCGAGTGCTAGGGGACAGTCCTTAGAAAGAATGGAGTGAGCGCATCATTAGACGCATTTATGTCAAGCTCAAGGTGCTGCCTGCATAGTATGTCCTTAGTTGGACAGCCTGCAGGATTGGCAGGCAGCCTGACATGCATTCATGCCAGGCTGACCTTCCAATTCTTTGGAAAAACATGCCCCTTTTGGGGCATGTTCACCCCTTTTGGCAGGTCTTGTCACGTGATTCGCGCCAGTGGCACACCCTTTTACCCCGCCCATTGACTTCCTGCTTCACTGGACACTGCTGTTAGGGGTTATGGATTTACTTGAAAGATGAAAGCATAAATTAGAGAGAAATTAGCATAGAGTATGTGTTTTCTTATAGCTGCATCCTATGATTTTCCCTCCAGCACCATCTCCATCAGATACATGACGCTTGGGAGGTATGATTGTTTTAGTGTTTTTGGTCGATAAGATTCCGTAATTAGGCCCATCATAATTGTCAGCACCAGGCCCACCGTGCTCTTAATCCGGCCCTGCACAGGGTCAGTGGTGGAGCTGTGTCTTTTTTCCAGTACAAGGGTATGATATCTTTTGCTATGTTAAGGATGCAAATGGTCAGGGAGCATTTGTATCGGGATATGGGGGATATTGTGTGATGTAGTAGATAGGGAGTTGGTTGGAAGGGTGGCGGGTTATCTGTAAACAGGTCCACAATGGATGCTATTTTTTCCCAGAACAGTACTATGATCGGGCATTCCCACTATATGTGTAAGAAGGATCTTATTTCCCTCCCACATCTCCAGCAAAGACCATCAGTATCAATGTGTGCTCTCTGCAGGAGTTCTGGCGTCAAGTGAGAACATTAGTTCTAGCTAGTTTACTAGCTATGGCACAGTGGTGTACCAGGTCACAGACCTTATGCCATTGGTTTTCCGTGAACGTTTCCTCGATGGCCAATTCCCATTTAGACATGAAGGGGGGTGGAGGGAGCCCCTGTTGTTGTATCATGGGGATGGGATCCGGATCCTGACATACTTGTTCAAAGGGTGTAAGATCTCTATAAATATCAGGTCGTTGTGGTATAGCAGTGACATAATTCATGATTTGGGTGTATCTGAAGTCGGTCATGAAGGTGTGGATGAGTGTGCCCATTTATGTTTGGGAGGCTGGATTTTCCCATTTGCGGTGATATAATGGATTTGGGGTATTTCTTGTGGGAGTATGCAAGTGAAGGTTTCCGGGTCTTGACTCTGGCTCAAAGTAAGAATTACTTAGAGGACACGCGTAGTTTCCTCTCTTGTGATTGCCAAATTGACATGGTGTTTAGTGAGGTCTCTATCCATTTCATATGGAATAGGAAGGTGATTTTTTTTTGTATTAAGTAGTGATAGTGGGGAAGGGGGTGATCTAATAATGTTGTATACTTTTACATGCTGCTGTTAGGATCATAAGGGGTAATTTCAGAGCGTGGCTTCATTCTTCCTTTGCTACCCCAATATTGCCAACAATGGAAAAGATACAGAAAGATCTACCTATTAGTTGTGTTATATAATTATCTGTTAGTTCTGTCCTACATTTCAAACAGCTCACCAAGTCCCTGAATTTAAGAGAACAGAACATGTTTTTCAGGGGAGTAATTCATGCTATGTGCGATCTGCATTTCCTTATAGGAAGCTGGTAGAAGTAGTTTAAGCAACTTGACGGTTACGCAAAAAGGGGTTTAAGCTGTCTCACCAAATTCCATGATTTAATAGTGAATGCCAATTAAGGTTTTTCCTGTGCTTCCTCTGGGAGGGAGAGGTATGGAGTGTGTAATAGTGTTGTATGCTAGGGCAGAGTTGTGCTTCTATGTGTACTACTGTGAATTGTCACGAAATAGTGTGCTGCTAGGTTGTAAAATTTTAGATTTGGAATATTTAAACTCACATTAAATCTGGATTGAGATAATGTGTGCATTTTTTTTCGTGGATGTTTTTTCCTGCCAAAGAAATTTGGAGAAGATTTGATTTAGAGTTTTCTCACCAGATCACGAAAGTAGTATTGGCAAGGCTTGCTGTGGATAAAAGTGTTTTGGTATTAACTGATTTTAGGAAGGGGGGCTCTTCCCAAATAAATCAAAGGGAGGTGCTCCCATCTATAGAGAAGATCTTCTTACCTCAGCCAGAAGTGGTGTCATGTTGATTTTATACATAGTGGACATACTGTATTTAAATATGGGCATATTGAGCAATATCTCTCAACATTGTCAATTATGTTCGGAAGGAATGTTACAGAATTCGAGAGATAAAGCAAAAGATCCTCTGAAGAACCTGTACCTTTAATGGTGTGGCAGCCCAATTGGATTCATTTTATATCCTCAGAGTATAGATCAATCTAATAAGTGGGACTAGAGTTAGATTAAAAGGGATACCTGATAATGGGTAGCTTTGTTTTACCTCCCCTAGCAATTGTAAGTTCTTTGGAATCTAGGTCATAAATGTTTATTTTTATAGATTGTTGAGTGTATAAGACCTTCATGAAATGTCTTTTGGTGCCTTACCATTAGACATTATAATGCATTGCTATATCCCTTCACTACATGTTTATTCATACAGAACTACAAATACAAACATTACTTATGTTTTTATTTTGAAATATATATCCTTTTTTTTTGCGTTATGTGCTGTTTATGGTTATATTGTCTGATTGCATTCATTTTGTGAAGAATACATCTTAAACACAGGAATTCTATCTACGTAATCACCATGCCAGTTTGCAATAAATAATATTAAAATACTTCCTAGAAAATAAAATATATTACTACCAATCAATATCATCTTAGGAGTCTTGAGTCTTTAGCCTGCAAATGATTAATCTTGGTGCATTGATACTTCCATGATTTATATTATTCTCATGTTGATGTTTACTTTATAAATAATAATATTAATACAAGCACAAGAGCAGTTATCAAGCATTGCATAACATCTATATTTAGGATCTTCATACGTGACCTTATTTAACTAAAGCAGTCTCCAGAGGTCTAATCACAAGAGATGCCTAATGCCACAATATCTTTTTTGAACTTTCAAGCTTTGCTATGCATGTGTGCATAAGGCTGCAGTGAACATTGTATTCTCCAACTTTATTTCCCAATGTACAAACACATAATCCCTATCACCCCTGTGAAATGGCTGCCGCAGAGGGTCAAATAGATATTAGTATGCATGCAATGTTTGCTCAGCTGAGAATGGCTTTATCAAGTAGGAAAGTCCCTGATACCCAGCAAGGTACACTGTATAACATATCTAGATTGGCTTCACTTCAACTAGAATTAGCTGGTTATAGTCGCCAACTTCCTAGTATTTTGGTGTGATAGATGAAATACTACTTAATAATGTATTCTATTTATATAACACCAATTGCAATCAAACTAATGATACTGAAGGGCTTGCTATTGGAAATTTTGGAAAAATGCAGTTTGTGTTTTAAATTAGTTTTTTTTTTTTGCATTTACTAAACTCCTTTCCTAAAGGTACCCTTAAGTAAATATAGCACAGGCATAGCTTTATTGAGGAGATCTATACAATGAGTGGACACTCTGCAACTTATTACAGGTTACTCAGTGTTACATCTTCGTAGAGTTATCATTCACAAGGTTTGGTCTATTATTTCCTATTCACCTAACACAGCTTACAAACAAAACAGTCTACTCACGATTTTATTTTCTAAAAAAAAAAAAAAAACATGTTTATTTAGAAACATTTAAAAAAAATCTTATAATATCGAGCTTGGTAGGCCATTATTGTGAGGTCAATGAGAAAACCAATGGTGCCTTCATTGGGGTAATGATCACATCACAGGTTGAAAGTTATAGAGAGACAATTTGAAAAGATGACATCAAGTACAATCTTTAGAGCCCTAGAAATAGCTATATAACTAACACCATACGATATCGCTATCGCCGGCAATTGGAAAAGCAGCCAGAAACTCTCGAGACAAAGTAAAGAGTGCAAATGAGAGAGGACATATGTGACTGTAGGGGAAAACCTGAAAAATCTCCACGGAGTAATAGTGGGATTATGGAGAGTGAGACACATAGAATGAGAAATGTGGAAATGTAGAGAGTGAGAGGGGTGTACGCTGTGCTAGTGAGAGTATGAGGGCCAAACTGGAGGTTGTGAGAGGCTTTGTAAATGCTTCTAGGATGAATGGGCCATTTATTGCTGGGTGAATGTTGCTGAAAGCGGTGAGGCTAAGTGGGACTGTGGGTGCTCATAAAAAACAATGGAGGATAAGAGGAACACAAAGGACAAACACACATTTTGTCAAACTTACCTGTTTCCACAGCTGTCACAGGTGTTAATATTCAATCCATTGCTAATGAGAAAACGGATATTCTGCACATGGCATTCTCTGCGTAGGTTTAAAGAAACATACACAAGTGTAAAATACTCAAATATATAACTATATAACCAGAATGATATATGCATTCATTTTAGATCATAAACATTTAGACTGGCCAAAATTTTAAAGGACCACTAAAGGCACCACGACCACTTCATCTCAATGAAGTGGTTTGGGTGCAGTAGTCCAGGCCAACCCCCGGAGCGAGTAGAGAGGGGGGAGCATGATTGCTGCCCTGAGGAGTTGGCATAGCAACCAAATGTATACAGTTGGTTTTACAGTTGAAAGGGAATTCTGGGTAAAATTACCAGACTACTAGTGAACAATGCTGAGGGAGCCTGGCAGTGTCTTTCCCCACCCACCCTCTCCAATGGTTCTGTTCTAGAATTGTTGTTTTGTTTTGTGTTTTCTCTGTTTTTCATTTTGTCACAGCTGCGGCTTTCCTGCGCCAGCAATTTTGGTAAATGAATAATGCCCAGACGGGCTTGGGGAGTCACAGCCTGAATTTGGTTGATGACGAAGAACAGGCTAAGAGGCTCTGGAAGAAGTTGAAAGTGTACCTGTCTGCTGGGTAAAACCAGCAGCTGACGGTATTTGGTTATGCTGGTTTAAATAAAGCTGTGGCTGTTGCCCTTACCCACTTAACATGGTGTTGCGTTACTTATTGGGAATGGAAGGGTAATGGGATTTGATGATCGAAGGAGTCAGCAGTCATATTGTTTTAACCCTGCAATGTAAAACATTGCCGTTTTGTATAAACTACAATGTTTGCATTGCAGGGTTAAACACATCTCTAGTGACTTTCTTCCTTACAGCCACAAGAGGTGTTTCCCTCTTAGAATCAAGTCAAACTTAGATCTCAATCCAGTGCTGCTCCTAAAGGTGAGGGAGTAAAGTTAAGTAATTTTAACTTTTTAAAACCTCACTGGGGGTGGATGCCAACATAGGTAGCTTGTATTCCTAATGCCATAGTGTGTCTTTAATGCTTTCTGAAGTAATAACTATGTACAACTCCACCCCCAACCCCCCCCCCCCCCCAAAAACCCCCCCAAAAAACAGTTAGTGCAAAGTCCTACACTAAGATGAAATCTGTTTAGAAGAATCTTACATTGGCACTTTCATTCTTGGGGTCTTTGCATTATTTTAAAGACTCCTGAGGGTGACATGTCAGCTTGTATGTTTATGGCTGTAGAGGTATGATGGAGACTTCACCTGCCATTAGCCATCATCACTTTTGTACTCTCATACATGCACAAAAAGCATAGAATGGAATCTTTGGAATCTCCTGCAAGATCACAAGATCTTCCATAGATAACCTTGTAGTCATGCAATAAGGTGTCACAGGCATCTATTGGATGTTGTGTGAGATGATGCCTAGCTATCCACTGTGACTGTGACATTTATGGAAAATGGCAAGATGTGGATGCACACATTGCCAGAGGTTGTCAAATAAAAAGTCTTACATGAGACAAAGCAGTTGCTAATTTGAATTTTCTTTATGAAAAGTTCAAAAGTGACAGCGCCTCTTTAACTATGCAGATAAATGCACATGTGCAACAAAAGAACTGAATAAATGTTAAAATAGTTAAATGCATATTTGTATATATTTATTATGAGGAGTTCTTCCTAGGGATAACAAAAAACAGTTCCAGAGGCATTTATCGCAGTGCTAGTATTTCCGTAGACATTTTAATTAAAAGAAAAGGAAAACATATATTTTTTCCTTTAATATTAATATGCACTTAAAAAGTGATGTGTGGTACTCTAGCAAACAATTGCTGTATGTAGCATATGCAGATAGATACCTGTCTGGAGGAGGAAGGATAATTAACCAGCATTCAAACCCCAGTATATTTTAAATGTAAGTTATTTGCATAGTAACATATATTGTATATAACACTGTATTGTATATAACAACTTATTGACACAAGAATTACAATAATTCTTTATTTAAGAATGTTCTTGTGACTATATTGAAGAAATCACCCGGAAAATGGGTTTGAAGGAACACTATATGGTCAGGAACACAAACATGTATGCCTGACCCTATAGTGTCAAAACCACCACTCTATAGCAAGCTTCCAAAATATTTGGCTAAAATATACATTAGTAATGCTCCATTCAAATAGGAATTATGTATCAATTAAAATTTTGTAACAAAGACAGTAAAAGAGAAGCAATAATTAGGAACCTTGTGTTGGTTTCCATGGCAAAATTGTGTGCACACACGGTTTCTTTATTTAAAAAGTAATGATATCTTATTTGAATGTTTTTCCTGTCAAAATGTATCATTTGACACTGATTGGTAAAATAATCAAAAATTCACAGAAATGCAATGCTAACTATTTCAAAATGCACAGGTATGGAGAAGAAAGAAATTAAGAACAAACAAACGAACAAATGAAAGAAAATGCCACGGATTATCGCTTGCCTGCATATATGGGTAGACTACTAAAATGTTTTTTAAATATGTGTTTTTGATATGTGTGTTGCGTTATTTTGTATATAATTTGTGTGTAATTGTAAATAATTACATTGAAATAGCAATAGAATATAAAACAAAACATATAGCAGGCTAGACTATACTGAAGAAAGTACTAAGTGTGCTGCACAATCGGTATAGTGAAAAATAAAATATATAAAGAAACACTATCAGGTCAGGAACACAAACATGTTTTCCTAACCCTATAGTGTTAAAACCACCATCTAGCCCCCCCCCTCCCCCCCAAAAAAAAATCCCCTTGCCTCTCTAAATATAGTAAAATCTTACTTTTGTTCAAGTCTGCAGCTGCTGCCTCTGCCCCTGATATGCTTACAGCTGGCATCATCAGAAGTGATTATGTAAGCCAATTACAATCCTTTCCCATAGGATTGGCAGAGACTGTCAAGGAGGCAGACCAGGGGCAGAGCCAATACAAGTCAAACACAGTTCTGGTCAATCGGAATATCCTCATAGAGATGAATTGAATCAATGCATTTCTATTAGGAAAGTTCAGTTTCTGCATGCAGAGGGTGGAGACACTGAATGGCAGTGCTGCTCACTGTGCAGCACTGCCTCAGGAAGCACTTCTAGTAGCCATCTGGGGAGTAGCCAGTGGAGTTATCCCTAAGCTGTAATGTAAACACTGCATTTTCTCTGAAAATACAGTGTATACTGCAAAAAGCCCGAAGGGAATGATATTACTCACTGGAACAAATACAGTAAGATGTAGTTGGTCTGGTGGCTATAATATCCCTTTAAATAGCTTGTAGCTAAATAAGGAATCCTCACATTGAAACTGCCATGGAGTGGTTTTAACAGTAACAATTAATTTACTCACTCCTACAAGGACAAGAATGGCATCTGTCAATACCTTACATGGACATTTTTACATGCATACTATGAAGAACGACAGTAAAAATTACTTAGTGTAACGGAGCTCCAGCACTCCAACCGAGTACCTCCGCCAAGTCTGCTTTCTCTTAGTTATCAGGGACCTTGGAGCACTTCATATCCAGTCATAGAGGCTTGTCTGGGATCACCGAGGGCCATTTCCACCCTGGACCAAGCTAATGTGCTTACAGCCATAGACACCCTTTCCATCAGCAGATTATGTCCCTTTCCCCAAACACCAGACGACACATGGTGAAGGTTAACACAGCAACTGACTTTACTAGACATTAGTGATGTCCCGAACGGTTCAAAGAACGGTTCGCCACGGACGGCGAACATATGCGCTGTTCGGTCCGCCCCCTATGTCATCATTGAGCAAACTTTGACCCTGTACCTCACAGTCAGCAGACACATTCCAGCCAATCAGCAGCAGACCCTCCCTCCCAGACCCTCCCACCTCCTGGACAGCATCCATTTTACATTCATTGTGAAGCTGCATTCTTAGTGAACTGTCCAGGAGGTGGGAGGGTCTGGGAGGGAGGGTCTGCTACTGATTGGCTGGAATGTGTCTGCTGACTGTGAGGTACAGGGTCAAAGTTTACTCAATGATGACGAATAGGGGGCGGACCGAACAGCTCATATGTTCGCCGTCCGTGGCGAACTGTTCGGCAAACCGTTCGGGACATCACTACTAGACATTGCTCACATATTTTAAGCCCCCAACAGCCTCATTTACATACAATGGTGCATAGAGTACTATAGCATGAGGAAGGGTGGGGTCAGACAATAGCAAGGGCTGATGGGAGATTGAGGAGGGACAAAGCAGCTAATTTAAACTGGTCTGGCAGTGTCCCTGGGACAACACCCTGCTGTGGAAACAATAGCACAGGAAAAAGGGGGAGGGGGAGAGGCACAGACAAGCAATACATTCAACATACCCTGCATCAATAATGATCAAAAATACAAGAGGAATCTGGGGATCCACACATAGTTGGTTCAGTAAACGAACGGGGGGTGTACAGCTGAACAAAAGGGAATAAAAGTGGAGCTAGAGCATCCATTCCGCTATACTTAGGTTGTGGAAAAATCACTTACGTTTGAACATCATCGTAAATTATGTAAAACAACAATTCTTCCTGTTCTCTTTCTTTGAAGGATATATCTTTTGAAAGTAACCTAGCGGAATTGAAGGTTGAAAATATATATTTTTTTTAGTTAAGCAATTCATTTAAAAATCATTATTTAGAAAGGCAGAGCTTTATATATTATTTGTATAGCAAGGAATCGATTTTATATTTTGGGATTCAGTTTTCAAATGATTTCATACTTCTGGATACATGTTTAAAATTATTTTTTCCACATATTAAGTTATAAAAAAGTGCATAATATATATAAAAATATATCATATATAAAATGTATGTCAGTATACAATAAAATAAAAATATTACATAATTTTAAAAGTTTATCCAAAACTATCAAATAATTTTAAAAAACGCATCCAGAAGTATTAAACTGAGGCCTAAGGAAGTTTAGTTCTGGACAGGTTTTACCATGGCCAGATTATGTCTTGCGCAACAGCCTTCATGGGTTTAATGATAACCCCATCACAGGTTGAAGGTAGCATCCATAGTTAAAATTTGTGCACTGCATCCATAAATTATGGAGAATATTTGTCAATCAATAACCGATCTGTTTTAATTCATCTGGAGATTATTCAATAAACACCACATTTTAATTAAATGAAAATATAGATGCAAAATTTAGACAACAACAGATGATTTGGAAAAATTCTACAACTCACCTATATTTAAATTATTGTACTTTTAGTTCTTTTAACTTTGAAATTCCTTTTCAACTTAGTACAATGTATTGTTTATTAAATAAACCTCTTCGTGTGTATAGGCCATTTGTAAATGTAGTCTGTGTGTTTATCATTGTTCATAAAACAATTAGAGGGCACAATGAGGGCATAATAATCATATATCAAAAGGTATATTCTGTAATATTATGGTATCATTTTGTGTTTCTATAACATGTATCTGTATCCATGTTCCATCTAAATATTCAAATTCTTGAGGCTTTTTTTGGTTGCAAACCAGAATCAAAGACACAGTAAAGATTATTCTAATCTTAAACCCCTTATCTCAAAAGATGTTCCCTTGAAATGCATCATGCAAAGGTAATTAAAAATAAATAAATAATAATAATTAGAATTAGAATGTTGTGCTTTTATTCTTAACATAGATCAATGATGTGTTATTAAATTCCCTTCACTTTGATTTACAATCTCTACTGTCAAAGGTGGCTTTGCATCATTTGTCAGTTTTGCGTTTACACTAAATTGTCTTGTAACCGGGGTCAGAATGAGAAACCAATGAAAAGTGTCTAAATAGTTGTCATAGGTATGTATTTTAACTATAATTTATTGTGTATAAGCGCTGTAAATAATCTGGCATTTTCTAATTTTTCTGCAGCCCATGTTTTGTGGATGGCAATGTTTTGTTATTTTTTTTTCCTCTATTGCTTGAAATATTTCTCCTTTTTAATAACAGTTGGGTGGAACACACTTTTGCCACTTGTTATCCCAGTTAAAGTGTTAATATTGCAAACTAAGGTGGGAGAAAAGAGTTTTGAGGTGGGGCATTATATTATTTCCCTAGGTTATTAATCTAGGTTATTATTCAAAAATGTTTACTAATATGGAATATGGAATTCATATTTCCATGTATGTCATAACCAAGTAAAAACCATTTGGGTTCAAGAGCCATGCCCAACGCATTTCTCTGCCATATCTTGGACAATCTTCTGGAGATCAATTGTTTAATGGTGTATAATAATTTTTTTTGTTATAGTTTTCAAGAACCATTCAAATAGACATCAATCCAACACGACCCAGTTAGAAAAAGTTACCATTTAGTACACTCCAAGTGGTTGTTAGATAATGCAAGATATGGAAGACTTGGTGTGTTCTTTTCCATCATCTCTTTGTGGATTTTACTCCATTCTGTAGCATAAGATTCCATGATAGTCTCGATAACGTCTATTCGACCTTGTATAGCAGCACAATGAACTGCTAGAAGGCCTTTTTTATTTTGCTTTTTCTTCGATGCTCCTTGAGAAATCTGAAATATGGGACATATTATAGCATAGTATGAGCTTGATACTTTCACAACTGGTGAGTCTAACAAAACTAATTTTATTAGTAGTAATAATACAATAGAGAATATAGTAATATTATATTTCTAAAGAGAATGAGCTGGCCTAAGAGCATTATCAATAGGGTACTGCAGTGGAAGAGACAGCATGTCTCTTACTCAGAATTAAGGATTCTGACCAGCAAAGTATTAAGCAATAGGCTTCTGTATATCAACTTTAGAGAAACCTAAGAAAATATAGAATTTTGTCACATTATACATAGTTGTGTCTGAGATTTTACACGTGTTTTGAATGAGCTATGCTTATATGCTTAACTATGTTAATGTTGTATTGTTAAAGGTTGCACACAGGCGTTAACAACAGTGAGTACAGTGAAGTGGCACTACAAGTACAATCCAAGTGGAGCAAACGTATGTTTTGACTGGTGAACCCTCTTTTGTCTATGAGACCTTGAACGGTTTCATGTTGTACTGTGCACAAAGATTTAGTCGGCTAACACCCCTCCCCAAGACACTGGAGACACACACAGCTTGAGGGTAGAACAGGAACTAACTTTTATTAGACACACCTAGGTATTTATATACAAGTGAAGTCATTAGTAAACTCACAAGGGTTTGGGCCAGCGGCCAATCATACTGGGGCTAAACGAAACAACCAATCACAGTGAGCATATTAATTACCAACAGAACACACAATCCCAGAACATCTACTTTGCATACCCAGTGAAACATTATACCTTAGGTAAAAAGAGTAACACACAATCAACAATAGGTGACTCAGCTTCCTGTCTCTCTACATGACACCCCCAGTCCCGGTATTTGCCCTTTCCCGTCCCCCTATGCCCGGTGCTCATGTGATGGCATACCAGCATTCCGTCGCAGTTGGCTCTTTGGCGGCCATGAACTAAACCCACAAATTGTCCTCAGCAGTACTTAGCCGTGATTGTTATGGAACTAAATTCAGCATGAGGACTTTGTGGGCTCCCAGGCACCTCAGCGGGACTTTGCTGCGAATGTCATGGAACTGTCTTCGGCATGAGGTGACCGCGCGGATCCCGGACAACTTCGTTCGTGGTTTTGAACCACTTTGAAATCCACCAGGAGAGCTCTTTTTGGAGGGAAGGTGCCTGAGACAAAGGGGAATAAACACTATCTAAGAGCCAGCTAGAGCACCCAGTATTGTGGCCGCAGGAGCTCCTGAAAGGTGACCAGCCAAAGCACCAAATTCCCTGGAACTGTTTTGGGCATACCACGTTTCCGGCCGGTCAGAACTTTAACATGGTGGCATTTTCCATACACTGCATGGATCTATTAGAGAACTTTTTAGAGAACTTGGGCACTCAGATCAGGGCTATTTAAAGATGTATTTTTTGTGGGGTTATTTATTTTTATGATGTTTTGGGGTATTTTTATGTTTTATACTTTTATAAAAACACAATTATCTCCCAGGCACAGAGATCTTTGAGAGGTGCTTGCATTGTAGTGTGGAGACCCCCCTCACTTACATTTACCCAGGTCCCTGTTCCAGTGCGGGAAGTCACCCCAACCAAGCTGCAGTGGCAAGCGGCTGAAGCACTCCTTTGTCCCAGATGAGAGTTAGGAAGCGAGCTTGATGGAGGTACCCAGTCGGGGTGCCAGGCAGTCTGTCACATAGTATTTTTAATAGGGCCTTTACTCTTTGCTCACAAGCATCCCATACAATTTCCATGGGATTAAGGTTTTGATACTTGGCAGGTTTAGTAATTAGATTTAATCCTTCTTTCCCAGATATGCATTCTACAACATCAGTGTGTATTTTAGTCATTATTTTGTGGCAGAATGAAAGAATGTCCTAGTAGCCAATAGCCTAATTGGAGCAACATATCCCTAAGTTGTGTTATAATAGATATACTTGTTGAACATGGTGTGGAGTCTGTGACCACTGTACGCAGAGAGGTGTCAGCTACACCTCACTGACAATGCCCCAAAAATGGTTGGAATGATCCTCCAGGGATGCTGCATCTCTCATGCAGACAGAACTTGACAGAATTTTGGCTCTGGACTGCCCTTATGGGTGTGATCAGTCAGATATGCAAATGGTATTGTTTTTCTCTATAGTGGCAAAAACATATTTGATACCTGAGCAGAAACTAACTGATGGGCAAGCTATTTTTTTACGAGCTTTTGCTAGTTCTCAGAATTCTCATATTTTGTTGACAGATATATTTACCTGAAATGTGCTTTCCCATGCACAGCATGGTTCCCTGGAATGAATAAAGTGGTTGTACATCTAAATGCCATGATCAGCATTACATAATTCCTATGTGCAGCCACTTTCAATCTCCAATGGCACAGCAGTATATTGCAAGATGGTTTTAACAGAGCTCCCTGTACCACCGCTGGGTACCTCTGCCAAGGACCACTTCCTAGCTGGAACATGGGACAGACCTTAGCACTTCTGCCCCCAGTCGCCGTGACTTGGAACCACTCAATCCTGGATCCGAATAGGGAACTTGATCTATCCACTCCCAGGAACTGGACGACACTCAGTCCTGGGAGCTGGAGTCCTTAAAAGGACTTTCCCCATTGAATCCTCCAGACTGGAACAAGCTGGAGTAATGATTAGCCCTTTCCCCTCCCAGTAACCAGACGACACATAGTTCTGGGAGTACAAGCTGGAAAAACCTTTAATCTGACCAGATGGCCTGCTTTTATACAATTTACAAACACACCCATAACAATCCCACACAAAACAGGATAATCCCTCCCCCTGCACCTGAGAGGAGACTAGTTACAAGCAAACATCTAACATACTCCTTCCCTGTGCCTGAGAGATAAGTATCGGAGCACACAAACATAATTAAATTATCTCGAAGTACAGAAACAAAACCCCCAAAACACATAAAAACCTCACAAAAGTTACATCCCCTGATAGCACCGATATGGGTGACCAACAAATCCTAAAGTCACCCAGATCAGTTCAGGAGTTTGGAATTTTCATGGAAGTCATAATTTTGACCAACTGTGCACATGGTCCTATGCCCAAAACAGTTCCATGAAATCAGTGCTAACGGTCAGTCAAGTTTGGTAGTCTTTTACAGGTTTCCCTGCAGGGCCCATAGTCTGTGGGCAGGAGGCTGGCAAGCAAACTCTTCCCTGAGCTTGTGGCAAACTCACGTGGGAAGAGGAGTTTGTCACGATAATCTAATTTTTAAACTTTTAAATGGCTTTTCATCTTTACGTTTGTTAGTGTCCTTTAATAGCAGGATTACAAGGGTTATGTAAGATGTTTTGCAAACTTGATAAGTTTCTACACATTATTTTAGGACTTGATGCTTAATCTAACTGCAGTGTAGCAACATTTTAATAAATAATAATTACTAAGCAATTTCTTTTTTCAATCACACTGTCTTTGTTTTGAAAGATAACACAAAAAAAGCCTCCCAGATGAAGTGCTATATTTAGTTTTCACTTGTGCTATTTCTTAGCAGATTTTAGGAGAGGCACAGCAGTTACTGGGTGACTTACTGAACTATTGTTATAATGAAAAGATTAAGATAAAATCTACCAAGGAAGAAACTGGTCATGAAAGTACTTATTTTAACAGCAAGACTGTTTGTTGAAGTCTACTATTGGTATACTGCTGAGATAATGCTTATGTGAATCTACACATAGACAGATTTAACCATGTTAAGTCTCATTAGCTGTTGCAATTGTTGTGATTTAAAAATATCAAACATATGAATCATGTATCAATTAGAAATGTTTTAGTGATCACATGTATCTTTTAAAAACAGCACTTTTAAACATAGAGCCACTATAACGTGGGAGGGCTGGCAAGGGGGCAGAAGGACAATTAACCCCCGTGACCATTTGTACAGGAGGGATGGCAAATGGGTTGTGGATTGCAAATTCTTTTGAAAATTAAAATAACAGGAGGTGTGTTGGGATGGCTCTTTGCAGAGTTTTGCAGGAGTTAAGCAATGGGTAAGAATTCTGCAGGACTTGATAGCTCGACACTGTTTGTACATAGGCTAGAGTCCTGTGCTCTCCAGGCCTGGACTGGCCCAGTGGGTTAGCTGACGCTGAAAAAGCCGACAGGCAACAATGATGCCCCTGAAGTGGTTTGCCAGTGGCCAAAAGGTGAGGTGAGACAGCGATTATGACATTTATAGGACATACCGATTATCAATGGTGGCGATAGAATAAATGTTGGTCCAGTATTTCCAGTATTTCAGGTACATTTTAATATTTTCATTGTCTGACCGCTGGGTATTCAGGCACTTATTGGGCCTTCATTGTTTAGTAATTATGTGGCTAGGTGTTGCAACAGTCTATATTTATGTCAGGCCCAAACTTGGGCCTATACATGTGGGCGAGAAAATAAAATATAAACTTGTATATACATTCTCTGTACATATAAATGTAAAATTCTTTTTGTGAAGGGGAATATCTTCTAAATGTCTAAAATCTTCAAATTAAATGACCTTAAATTCATAAAACTCTATCATGTGCATTTCAGTTAGTCACCCTACATTTTAATGTTTGTCTGCCCTCTGTGTATTCAGGTACTCATTGGGCCAACATTGTTTTGTGAGTCACTGTTTAGTAGATATGCCCCAAGGGACAGCCTACATGAATTTAATTATGTAATTTTCATTGGGGTATAATCTAAAACAGCTAGCTAAATCTGCAGTTTTCTTGTCTGCTGCTTTTGCATTCCCTCACTTTCTAACTCAGATTTTCTTTGTACGGTCTACATGCATTAGGAACATCATTCAGTCATGTTCAGTTTAATCAACACAAGTTATGGGTGTGTTTGTAAATTGTATAAAAGCAATTAAGTTGAGAGTCTACCATTATTCTAGCATTTCCTGTTGCTTTCAACCCTAATATTCCATGCCAGCTGTGTATGCGTCAATTTTTATCATCCTCCTAAGCATTCCGCATGTAGGTCTTTTTAATGTACGTCTTATATCTCCTGTCTT